AAGGTTGGAGGCTTTCTGGAAGGAGAAACCCTCATGAACTTCAGCGGAGGGGCAGGCTGTGGCACGTGCTTAGAAAGGCCTGATTATTTCCCTTGGCCTTTTAATCCTAGTTCTGGAGCTATCGGGACATGGGACGACTGGTCAGCGAATACATATATAAGTTGAAGTTGATGATCATTGACTTGAGAGACTCTAAATATCTCTTGGATTAACAACCAAGAAAATCACTTACTAAATGCAGAAGAATGGTACAGCAAATTAGAAAACACAGACACTCTTTTCTGAGTACACTAATGGTATCCTGATGCCTTAAAGCTGGGTTCTTCCACTCAACATGGGGTATCTGAAATGTACCTGAACCTGCTCAAACAGTAATAATAGATAAAGAGGTCTGAAGAGTTAGTCTCCCCATTGATTCAAATTTATTGCCCATGCCCAAGTTATTTTTTAAAAAAAACTTTAAAACTATGGGGTTCCAGGCTCCATAATCATCACCAGATTTGGGTTTTCTTCTTTTTTCCCTTTTCTCAGCTTTCTTTCTGTTACAGAACAGGGAGTGGGGGGAGGAGGAGTAAAACACACAGGCTCTTTAACTTGAGGCTCAGGTAGGAAAGAAAAGTAATTGAAATTACAAATACAGATAATTAACCTGAGTCCTTAAAACTAAATATCACCATGGAGACCAGCGCAGGAACTGTCTCCATGGAGATCTGAATGAATCTGGGGTTTTTTGCTTTAAATTATCATTTGTTGCCAGATGTCAATTTGGCTATGAGAAAATCAGAATCAGTGAATGAATGAATGAAAGAGGTAGTCTCATACAAAAGAATTTACGATATTAAGTTTAAATAAACCAGAATTTATTAAATCTAAATTGTTTTGGTTCTTGTTGTTCTATTATTCCAGTGAGTGGGAAGATATCCCAGGAGAAAATTTTCCCTCAACTCAGAATTTCTAATTGAAACATTTGATCATATGGTACATGCTACAGGGATGAGCAGGGAGAGAGAATTCCTAGAAAAGGCATCAGTTAGAAGCAGCAAAATGTGGGGAGGATGACGTGGCTCTATCTAGTTTCCACTGTAGCCAAGAGGAGCAATGAGGCAGAGGTCATCTTTAACAACCAACCTGGTTATATTACTTTATCAGGTCTGTTACACCAACCAGTGTAGCGAGATCAAACAGACTTGTATTACATGTCAGATAAAGAGAAATGAGACAAATTCAAATATTTATAGAACCAGAATTTCTCCCAGTCACAGACTATATTTTTTACCTATTGATATCGTCACTTATTGATCAAACTACTCAGTTTAGAGATCACCCAAAGATATAGATATTAGGAGTTCATCAATTAAATAAAAAGTCACGAAGTGCAAAGTTAATAAAGGTGTTGATGTATTATAAAATAAGTCAATAGAAAGCTAACAATTATATATGACCAAAATGGATAAAAAGCAAAATGGTCAAGGACATTATTATCATTTCAAAGTTACAAACTCCAATTTGTTTTCATGCCTGGGGATTGACCTCAGGGTCTTTGCATAGATCTACAATCCCAGTCCTTTTCATTTTTTACTTCTTTTTTTTTTTTTTTTGGTACCAGGGATCGAACTCATGACTTCATGTTTGCCAAGGTAGCATTTACGCCACTGAGCTAAACCCCCAGCCATTTTTTATTCTGAGGCAGAGCCTTACTACATTGCCCAGGCCAGGCTCGAATTTGCCATTCTCCTGCCTCAGCCTCCCAGAACACTGGTCTTGAACCACTATACCCAGTTTACACTATAAATTTTAAGCACTGATTTTGGTGACTGGTTGGATATGGAAAGAAAACCTTGACAATGTTGCCCCAAAACAGCCAACTTCAGAAAATGCTATGGTTTCTCACATTTCACAGTTGACTCTCTTCATCTGCATGTTTAATAAAGTTGCAACAAACTAGTGAGCACTGAACTGTTTCTCCTTATAGGAAACAATTTGAGGAGCCCATGAGCCTCTGCTCACCACATTTGCATGAGCTACCAATACACAGTCTTGTGCTGTGTGTGTCGTGTGTCTCTGTGTAAAGACATCTTACTTACTATGTATCATCGGTTCATTACAATGAGCTTACTGCTGGCAGCACTGCACCTCTGACCTGAACAAGGTTTAGTGATGCACAGGTTTCCTCGGTAAGGCACATCACACCCTCCTTGTTCTCGGGCACACTTCAGCATGATGCATGGGGTCATTCTGACACCAACAAGGCACAAACATGCAAAATGTAAGGTGCATCATTAATGACCCATGAAAAGGACACTTGTTTACAGTGTGACAGTTGAAACAAGAGGGTAGAGTGTTGCTTTGACTTCTGTTGGAAACAGGCATCCTGGAGAAAACAATTTTTACCCACTTTTGCCACTCTGCACATGCCTATAAATGACCACAAAAGTACCTGTAGTATTGGGTTTGAGTTGAGTTGAAGTTTGCCACGTAGCTGAATTCAGACTGAATGCAGTGGGTATCAGCTGTATTTGCCACCTAAAATGAACCACTTCTGTTTCCTGCCATGCTGCTTTTTACTATTTCATTACATTTGCCTGTTTTCTCTTGTCTACCTCTGGAGCTCCTTATTCTTCCTCCAAAACCCTGGTCAGGAAACTACACACACACACACACACACACACACACACACACACACACACACACTAATCATCCCTCTCCTAGTAGCTTTTTTTTTTTGCTTCTTATATGAATTCATCCCTTCCTTGCACAAATCAGATTGTACTGAACTTTTTTACATTAACCTCTTTTGCAGGTCTATTTAAGCCCTGAGGCTTGGATAAGCAAATGTTATTGCTCTTCCTCTATGCCAGGCTGTAGGTAAAAGGATGCCTCACACATTTTGCCTTCTTTAATCTTACAGTAATTTTATCTCCCCACTTGACAGTTGCCAAAGCAGAGGCTCAGAGCAGTCAGGTCACTTGCCATGCTGCATCCCAGCAGAACTGGTACCCAAATCCAGAGCCCAGAGGAGTTTGTTTTTCTATGTGCTTATTGTTGGTACTAGAGCGTGAATCCAAGGCCTCCACTGAGCTACATCACAGAACCTTCTCGCCCTTTGTAACTTTCGAGATGTGGTCCTGCTAAGCTGCTAAATTGCTCAGGCAGCCCTCAAGCTTTCCAGCTTCCCGTTTCAGCCTCCAGAGTGCTGGGGTTACAAGTGTGTACCATCATGTCCGGCTGAGTCCAAGCTTTATGTGAAATAAGTAATATCAGCTCTCATACATTATTGACTACTTACTGTGTTCCAGCAGGGTGATAGATGGCTCACACGAGTTATCTCATGAATAATTTCTGTTTCTATTTCTGTGGCCTCGTCATTAAGGACCTGACATATAAATGTCTATTGGGTTGAATTTAAATCTCCCAGTGCCTTTTACAGCCAACAGTGGGAAAGCCCTCTGTTTTTTCAGCAGCTGCTGAAATGATTTAGCATGGTCTCTGCCCTTCAGCCCCTCTCAGGTTCCACACTTCTTTCATGTTTATGTCCTTCTGTGTGTTCGCTCTTGATGTCCATGATGGCAACTTTCCAAAGCCAGGGTAGTGCAGAAGAGAGGAGAAGCACTGTCCCTCTGCAGAGGTTCCTTGTCTTTAACAATAACCCCCTGTGGCGTTTGCATGATGACCCAAATCCTCACCGGGGAACAGAACCACGGAGGGGCTGTGTTTTCCATGAGGGCTGTGAGACAATTGTCACAGGAGCCGGAGAGGACTGTCTGCCTCCCAATGCAGCTCTAACCCCGAATCTGCACTCTCTCACACTGACTTAGAAGTAGGCAGAGTCAGCTTCGGTGATTAACATTAGGGAGTGCCCTTGTGCGAAGGCGGAAGAGGGCTTTGGGAAGTTGGCCAAAGAGAAACCTTTGGCCTACACTGCATGGCTGAACGGCAGCAAGCAGGGGTAAAACCAAAACCCTCCATCTCCTTTCAAAGGCAAAATCAGAGACAAGATTTATGGCTTCCTTTCTCTTCCGCTACCCATTTCTTCCAATGATCTGAATACTCCAGGAGTAATTATTGTCAACAGGATAGCCAGAAAAGTTGACCCAAAAGAAAAAAGTGTCTACTTTTCTCCCAGGTATATACATTCTGGTATTGCTATTGGTAACTCTAATATTTAGTGAAAGAAAAGAATCTCTGAATTTTAAGCACGATTCCTAAAGCATTTATCCTTAAATCTTTAAATCTGTCGTTCTGAGGTCAGGTAAGAACCATGAGGGAAGTGCTCAGGAGTATGGTTCCCATCTCTAGCAACAGCCACTGCTTAGCTAGATCCCAGGGAAAGAGAATCTCTCTGGTCAGGTCTTTCCGCTTTAGGAAAGAAGACTTAGCCCTGAAATTGTATGTGGATCTCTTAGTTGAAATGCACTCGACTATCTTTTTAATGTAAATAAAATCCATGCCGAACAAACTGGATCTGTCAACTCCCCAGTGGGAGCCTGCAGTTTGCCACCCCTGGCTGAATGGTCTTAGTAAATACCTGGGTCACCTCAGTCAGTGTGCCTGCTCCCACTCGGAAGAATGGCACTGTTACTTTGAAAAAGACCTCCATCCTGCCAGCCTCCCCTACCGCCTAAAGCCTGGCCTCTCATGAGTAAGTACTTGTCTCAGAAAAGAGATTTCCAGGGCTCTGAAACACCACGCGCGCCTTCTCCTCGTGCAGGATCTGAGGCCACCGCGACTGGGCTGAAGGCTCCCTCCTCTTGCCGCCCAGGCCGCGCTCCTGCCTTGTCCATGGCCCTGTCCATCGCTCCTTAAAAGGACTCTCCCTCTTTTTTTCCTCGCCTCAGCTCCCCTCCGCCTGGCCTCATCTTCCTCCTCACCTCTTCCTTCTGCCTCCCTTCTCTTCTCCTCTCCACTGCTGTTCCCTCTCCCGTGACTCTTTTCCCTCTCCTGTCCCATCCCTGTGTACGCCTCCCTCCGCCAGCACCCAGGGGCTCCGGGAGCCTGCTCACCAGGAAGACACCAGCACCCCCTTGGAGTACTTCTGGTGATGGGAGCGGAGGCTCAGGGAGCCCTTGCGCTCCAGCAAGTCTGTGGGTCCGATCTCGTACAGGTTCTGCTTACTCTCACACCAGTCCAGGCCTGAGCTGTCCGAGCTCTCCATGGCCGCACTGGGGTCTCTCCACTTCGTCCTCTCCTGCGCCCTAGGATTCGGCGTCCTTCGTCTCCTAGGCAACCTGGGCGGGGTCACTGAAGGGGCGGATCCCTGGGTTCCTAGAGGGCTCCTAAAATTGTTGCTAAACTACTTTTCCCGGAATGCAGCGAGGACGGGGTTTGGCTGCACAGATGCTGCAAAGGGGGCTGATTTCGTTCGCATCTGCAGTTCCTCTCCTCCATCAGCCTCATCTTAGGTGTAGCTGGGCAGAGTTAAGTTGGGGGTTAGTTAAGGGCTGAAGGAAACCCGGGTGGTCTACCCGGACTACCCCTGCATTTCCTCTGCTTACGAAGTTACTTCACTTTGACTAAAAGGGAGCCAGAGAACACTTCTTCACAGCCTGAATTATGTCATTACTATACAGCTTTCCAGCCCTGGAGAAGGACCAGTCCTTCTGCAAATTAGCTAAAAAGTTTGAAAGCGAGGCTCCGGTTTCAGCCGCTCTCTCAGCCTTGGTGGGCACCGATTTCTCCTAAAAAGCAGAACAGAAGACGCAGCCCAGCAACGAGCTGCCCACTAGAATCTGAGGTCCTTGGCCTGTGGCTGGAAGGCTCTATCTCTTCGGAGGCACTCAGCCCTCCAAAACTTGCCAAAATCGCTGTGATTTTTGACATTTTAGGACAACACAAATTCATTACATGACGGTGCTGGGTGTTATATTTGAGAAAGATTTCACAAAGATCAAGGGGTTGCCTTCATTAGATAGCTGAGTTACAGAAGGGAGGCTGTTTGTTTCACTGTTTACTTTCTAAATTTTTTCCTTTCTCCTCCTGTCCCTAGCCCACAGTAGGATGACCCCGCTCTACCCCAGAGCTCCAGCTCCAGCCCATTTTGGTCTTCAGATAGCATCTCGCTAAATCGCTCAGGTCGGCCTTGAATTTGAGGTCTCCTTGCCTCAGCCTCCTAGCTGGGGTTAGATATGTACTACTGTGTCTGGCCCTAAGACTATTTAACATGTCAACATTTTTCTCCCCAGCCTTCACTGAGTAGCTGTAGAGCATTATTGAATTTACTCTCTGCTATCATTCTTACCCAGCATAGTACAAGGCACCTGTCAGAATGAATGAATGAACAAATATTATGTCTGAGAAACTCTGATTTATCCTGAGGTTCCTAGTGGTCCATTAACTCCAGATGTATCTTACTTTCAGAAGATCACATGTACACTCAGCCCCCCCCCCCACACACACACAAATCAAATTTGAGAACAAATTAAGACATAATCCACATTACAAATAGACTCACAAAACACTTATTATAATGAACCTATAAATAGTGAAGCACTCTTCTGGATGAGATTTCACAAATCTGACTGCACAGCACTACTTAGGAGCTCTTCTGTGGTTTTTGGTGCATAGCGTGGGCACCTGTGGTACTATTATATCGACAGCCATAGTAAAACCTTGTTATTTAAAACCCAATAAATAGTCCTTAGTAACTAAGTGCTAGCAGAAAGCTGATAGCTGATTGGAGAGAGAGAGAGAGAGAGAGAGAGAGAGAGAGAGAGAGAGAGCCAACTGCTACTTTAGCCTTTTTCTTTTGAAGGAACGTAAAGAAAAATTGAAGTTAACTTTAAAAGGGTTAATAAATTCCTCATTAAAGTGCAATTCTGTCCAATCAAAGCGGAGCATATTGCAGTTGCTCTAAAAATAACACAAGCATCACAACCATCACTTTGTGTGTTTCTTTTACTTCTGCTTAAAGCAGCGGTGCAATCAACACGACAGGTCTCTGCAGACAATCTGACCAAAAGATGAAAACAGCCCCAGCCACGTTCTTCCCGCTGTACTGAGGTGCAGAGAGGAGGATTTTCAGACTTCAAGTACAATAAGTGAAGAAAACAAGAACACGAGCAGAGCTTTCATTTTTGTATGCCTTAAACCAAGGTGACTGCCCCTTTGAGTCTGCCTTTCATTGTATTCTATTACATTGTATTATAGTTTTATATTAACTTTATAAACTTAATTTGTTTGTGTCTGTTGGACCCGTTTCAACCTCCTCGTGCAGTGGTGTGGTCGAGATGAACTCTGATCATCTCGATCAGTTCAGATAATCAACTCTGATCAGTTTCAGATAATTTCCTCTCCATGCACCAAAACATTAGATAGAATTTTGAGTTGCTTGATTCTTTGCCACTAAGTAGGACTAGAACAGCATAGACTGAAAGTAGGTAAACCAGTGCCTAATAGATGCTCAGCCCTCAACTACATTTCACTATCATTATTATCATTATTATTATTACATCTTGGTTTTGCCCTTACCATTTGGAGAATTATCTTGAAATCTAGTTGTTACTTGTGAGGTGTTCCCTAAGGACACTCACTGCTTTTTTTTTTTTTTTTTTTTTTTGACACTCACTGTTTTTTTGAGACTTATATGTTTCAAAGTTCTTTTTAATGACTTTTTTACCATATTTTTCTTTTCTTTTTTCTTTCTTTCTTTTCTTTTTTGTCACGAAATCATAAACTGTCACAATTAACAGGAGCTCAATGAAAAGACTTTTAACCATATTTTAATGTGAAATTTAATAGTTTGAATCAGAAACTATTGACAAGATATCTGGCTATATTACCAGTGACAACAAAATTGTTTCGTATTGACATAGAATCTTTTCAAAGCTGTTTCAAAGCTTTTAAGCTTTATGCCTAAAAATGTGAAATCCTTGATCCTCAGCGCATTTCCGTTATTCCTGTTTTCCTCCAAGGTCATCAGGTGGATGGAGGGTAGGGCTTAGAGCACTGCCCTCTATTTACATTGGTTCCTTTTACTGTAAGATCCCAGGGTGAGAAAATGAGCACTCAGATGACTGAAACATGACTTTTGTGTGAGGCAGCCCAACTGCGGAATTGTTGTCATAATTTTTGTTTTCAGTGCTAAACATTGAATCCAAGGCCTCATGCTTGCAAATACTCCAGCAATGAGCTAAATATCCAGCCCTAAATTTCAAACTTTCTTCTTGGCTTGTCAGATTCCTTAAGAAGTTGCTATAGCTCAGCAAGATAGCAAATTTTTCTTTCTTTCTTTTTTTTTTGTACCAGGGTTTGACCTGGCCCTTGCCAGGCAGGTGCTTACACCGCTGAGCTAAACTCCCCTGCCCCTTGGATAGTAAATTTAAAACAAATAAAAACCAACTAGATGCAAATGGCCACTAGGCAAATGTCTTTACCGGCTCCTTTCTCTTCCTGGCTCAGGTACTATTGGCTCAATTCCCAGAAACACCCTTGCTCAGGACCCCCTCCCCCTTCATTAAAATTATTTCTGTCTACCATGTGCCTCTCAGCAATATTTTAAATAATTTTACACTAATTTTTATAATCTAAATGTGAAATTCAGTTTAAATATCTTAATATTCCTCAGATATATTCCAAAGCAATCAGAGATTAAAACTAAGTATGTATTTCCTAAAGATTGCCTGGTGTTTGGTTTAGCTCTCCAGGAAGCAGGGGCCTCCGGTTTCCAAACCACGTACTCCTCTGCTCAGATTTTAAAAAGTTGGATTTCACCAGTTACATCAAAATTATAAGAGGTTCTTATCTATTCCGATTTTCCTCCATCTCTCCTGATGTCTGTCTTCTTCTTTTTTTTTTTTTTTTTTTTTTTTTTTTTTGTCTTTCACCTTTTTATCGGTACCGGGGATTGAACTCACAGCTGCCTGCTTGCAAGGCAGGTGCTTATGCCGCTCAGCTAAATCCCCAGCCCCCCCTCACCTTTTCTTTATTTTCTCCTACTTTTCCTTCCCTTATCTCTCGCTCTTCCCTGCTATACTACTTCTTTCATTCCTGTCTTCATTTCTCTCTATCCTTTTTCTGTCTCTGTTTCCTTTCTCTCTTCTTCCTTTGAGAATGGCGTGTATTTTGGAGTTAGAATCATCCACTTGGTGCCCAAAAGAATCTGATACAATTCCAAGTTATGTGAAAACTATGAAAGAAAAATAATTGGGCCTGGAAATCATGGCCAAAATTTGTATGAATAAGTTCATATTTAAGGATCTCAAAGTAGTCAATTCTGATGAAAGCTTCAATCTTCTTTCCTTCCCTTTAGTTAGCCATAACTATCAACCATCTTTTGTAGAATAATCCTAGTCTTGAATGTGATTCCTCTGTGCTTCTAATTTGGACAGTGAACCAATTAGGCACCCACTTGCTCTCAAGTCATCATCACTAACTAGTATTGGTTAAGTGTCAGTATGTGAAGAGCATTCTTTTTGGAATGGCTACCATCAGTATGGGGGACCAATTAATTAAATATTCAACATATAACATTCTATAATTTAATGTTTCCTTTATTTTGATATCTAACCAATAAGTAAAATTCTTTGGCAGCATTGTTCATAACTATCACAATGAAATTTTAATGTCCTGGAAAAGTAATGACATGCTCTAACACAAATGTAGATTAGGGATTTCTTTAATAACCTACAAATTGAATAGCCTTAATTATTCAAAGACTAAATATCCATTTGTATAAATGATTGAAACACTTGGTTTGGTCATTTTTCTCCCCAATGTTGTTTTGCTTTTGGGGCACTTTCCTTGATTACTGACAGCAAGAATGAGAAACATAGCTACTAGCTCTTTTTCTTTCCTTCTTTCTTTTTTAAAGAGAATAAAACCAAACAAAAATAAAACTGAATAAAGTCAATCAAAACAAAACAGTGAAAGTAATAAGGACTTCAAAACAGGATAATGGGAGATCAACCATTCTACCACGGTGCCTCTTGTTATCCACAAAATTGCTGCCCATAACATCAAACCTAGTCAAATCTAACAAAACAACAGAATAAAACCAATCAAAACAAAAATTCAATAAAACAAAACAGTACAATGAAGTAAAACGAAGCACTGAGAACATTATTGGATTTCAAAAACAAGACCAATAAATCAATGTTCAGACTACCAGCTTTAGACCTGTAAAGGCAATCTAACAATATAAGAATTAAGTTGTTTTTATACTTCAGTTGCTAGCAACTCAATCT